AATTTTGTCCAATAGTAATTATTTAAATTATTGCCACTCTGAAGAGTGCACTTAAAGGACTATGCTGGTGTATTCTATGTAGGAGTTCTGTAATTTGTGTCATAAGTACTTGGCCTTAGAGTAAAAAAAACCCCACACCTGTTTTCTTTTGCATCATTAATAGACAGGCACAGAAACTGAATGCGTTTTTTCTAAGTGATTATGTAGTGTTGCTTTTCTTGTGTCTCCTTACCAGCTGAGAAGTCCTTTGAGACAAGTTTTGCCTTTGGCAGTAACTGTACAAATCTATTGAATTCCACTGGTTGTGGAGATAGATGAGACTGATTAGGAATTAAGAAGCAGCTCTCTTGATAAATGCAAGAGAGGAGAATCCCTTTTACTGTTAATTCTGCAACAAAATTGTTTAGAGCAGGAATTCTAAACACTGAAGCTAGCAGAGCTGATGTGAAGAACATTACAAGAATGGTAAAGGACTTGTTTTCCTGCAGTCCATGCTGAATCCTGAGCTTTCCTTTAACTAGCTTTTAGTAATACCTAGAGAATGAAGATGTTGCCCAAAAAGGTGGAAAAGCTGATGTTTTTTGTCATGTATGCTGAGATGGTGGGTATAAATGTCTGCCTGCTCTTCACATTGCTACCCTTATCAACCCACTTGTTTTCCTTTCCCCCCCCCCCCCCCCCTTCTTTACCCCATTTTTCAATCACGATTCCTTGTTACTTCATTATCTGCAGGTTTTCCTTCTTGATCTGAAGCCTTAAAAATCTAACTTTACTTACCTTGGTGTAAATATTGATTTTGGATTTCTTCACTTTTATTTAATACAAGATCTTCTTTGCCTGTGTGTCTTTCGTTTGTGTTATTAAAATGATTTATGACACTGTGGGTAATTTTCCAGACATTTAATCTAATGAGATCATGAGATACTGTTGTGGGTTATGTTGCCCTCATTTCCTTGTTGGAGGGTGAAGATGGCTGCAGATGCACCGTGCTCTGAGATTTGAAATGGGGTATTTCTTCTAGTCTTTCCTATGGAAAGCTTATCAATCACTAAATGTCAGTCTGTTCCTTAGCAGAGTTGCATTCCTTATTTTTGTAGCTACAGAAATATAAAACAAAAAGGTTTAAAGCCAGTTTAGAGTGTCTAAACAGACCCCCAGAAGCCTGTTTTGGTGAAAGAAAGGATAGAATTAGTGACACTTCATGTCATTTCCTGTAGGACAGGAAGATGTCATTGTGTTGATATTCTGGAAACGTTACGATTTGGTTTTCTCAGATAGTCTAAAACTCTGTTTCAGATTCAAAGCCTCATGAAGTCAGGGGGCCTTCTCCCACTACTTTTGTGGGTTGTGGATCAGGTTATAAATATATGTTGAATAGGCTATGTTTTCCATAGAGAAAAAGGATGTCTTCCTTCATGACTAATTTTAACTAGAAACGGATATTTAATGCGGGCAAAGCAGTGTTAGTAGTATGTAGTATATCCACAAATTCACCTTTGAACCCTGCTCTCCTGTACTCTGTGTCATTATTCTCTGTGTTAAAATTATCCACACCCAAAATGTAAACTGTGTTGCTTGGAGATAACAGATTCTGGAATCAATTTTGACAGATATAGAGGTCACCACAGAGCATGCATAATGCATGTTGTCAGCAAACCCCCCCTTTTTTGAATCTCTGCATGAGACTCTGATGGTCCTTCAGTAGCCTTCAGAAATGCAGAGCGGCTGTAAGGAATATAAGTAGTTTGTATATTCTTGTTGTTTCATATATAATGAGTATTCTAACTTATTGCATACTGTGTTAATTCTAAAATTAAATACTCAAATACATAGTATAGTTTATGAAAGGTTTTATTTTTTTGTAATGTAGCTGTATTGAGACTTTGTAAAACCTGATCCAAGAGTGCTTTCGGCTTTTTTTGTGACCTACAATTTAGATTATCAATTTGTATCAGTTTTGTGGCTCAGAGCTTGGCTATGAAGACTTTCCTAGGTATATGGGGGATTTCCTAGTTTTCAAGTGAAGTAAATTTCAGCTACTTATTAGTGGGATAACTGGATCAGTGTGCTGCTTTTATTTTATTTTTTTAAATTATTATTATTTTTTTTTCTGTGTTGGAAACTGCTGGGCTGGTTTTGAGTTTCTGTCTGAACTTCAGTAAAACACTTGGTATACTGCCTCGGAATTGATCTGTTATGAGAGAAGGCTAAAAGAATTTGGCTTGTTTAGCCTAGCAAAATTAAGGTTAAAATGGATATGATTGCTCTCTAACTACACTATGAAAATAAATCCAGACAAGGAAAAGAACTAATCAGACTGCTGCCTCCAAATGGCTTTAAGTTGGCCATGAACTGGTTTATGCTGGGAAGCAGAACATTCTAAATGCTCAGAGAAGAAAGTTCTAAAATGAATAGTAGAAACAAACAGATTAGTTTTAGGATAAGCTTGCTAAACAGCTGAAACTTTGTACAAGCCTTTTACTGTGATAATGATGGATGGGGCATGATCCATCCCACACCAGTGTACTTGAAGGTCAGGAGGTGAAAGGCTGACCAGATTCTGTCCAATTAAAAGTACACTATCTCAATGCTAATCTGCTAAACTGTTTCTAAGCTACTGTTACCAAATCTATAATTGCATGGTGAAAAGAAATTTGAGTATTCTGTTTGGAGCTCTTTGGCTGTGTACTTCTATTTATTAACTTCTCTGTACCCCTTTTATTTCTTCTGTGCTTAATAGTATTATAAGGGAAGTTCTATGAGAAAAATGTCCATGGGAAAATAGCAATTTTGGAATAGTGTGTGTTTGTGTCTGAGTCAAGGGTTTCGTCTAGCCATTTGTTCCTGGAAAAACTGATTTAAAAAAAAAATTTAAAATAATGTAACAGGGACAGGTCCTTTTAATGATATTTTCATGCAACAAGTAAAACCCTTTAGTTGCACTTCCACTGCTTTTATATCTTCAGTAAATAAAGGCTGTTTGCAGATCTGGTATTGCTGATACTAAAATGAATATATATTCTCTGACTCAGACACTTCTGTTGTTGGCGAGTTAATTTACCTTCAGTTGCTGTGCTTTGAGGTACAAGGTACTTTTTAGAACATGAGTCAAATCTAATGTGTGCTTAAATAATTAGTACCAGAAAATAATTTCCCTTGTTTATACATGCATTTTTGATCAGTGGCCTTGAAGCTAGTAGATAGTATCATTACTAAAGTGAGTGAATGAAAGTGATAAAGAAGTTGAAAAAAATAACTGTGTTCTTCGATATTATTGCAATGTATGGGAATTTTGATTTTTTATTTTGATTTATGTAGGTCTTGTTATAGTATTTATACATTGTACTAGGCAGTATGTATTCATAGCAAAGACAGCCCTGAGCACATTACCTGTGAAAAAGTGAATGAGTTACTTTAAAAAAAAACAGGATTTGTACTGAAAAGTGCACGAGTGTATTTTTTATGATCTTCTGATGAGATTGGTACAAAGATGATGTTAAAGTGTACTATCTTGCACATGGAAAATATGATAAACTAAACCACTCATAGAAGTTTTCATAGCACAGGTGACTTCTTGTGCATTTGTTTTGACTTCCAAGTAAGTCTCTGAGTGGGTGCTTACAGTTTATCACATCTGCAGAGTTGTCATTACATTGTGATGAGGGAGTTCCTTTGTATTAGGACAAAATTGTCAGCTTTCAGTAGATACTTGTATGCAGCATTGCTTTTATTTTCCACAAAACAGACACAAGGTTTGCTGATGCTGAATCAGTATTTGGAAGCATAGCAGCTTATTGAGAAATAAAGCAGTCTAGTATTTACCTAAGTAGAATAATGGCTTACTAATAAGTAGGTGCTCATTTTAAATATGCCAAATAACTTCAAGAAATAATGGAAGTTATGGTGTCATTTGGGTTGAGTAACATAAGAGATGGTATTACTTAGCTTAATATTTCATCAGCCCTTTGGATTAGTATTTATTATTAAATACAGAGAGTAGCAATTAGGGAAGGTGATCTCTTTCATGTTTCATACAATTTAGAGGAGGCCGTGTGTATCTGTATTTCTTGCCAACTAATTACAGTAGTGGTCTTGCAACAGAAATAAGTATTTTGTAGACCTGCAGATCCTTTGTTGTTAGAATTAAGTTGTTAATGACTCTCCAGCAAGAAACTGTTTAAATATGGCAGCACATGTGCGTTGACTTTCTATGCTTTCACTCTTATTTATATTTATTTAAACATATTTTTACCAAATATTACCTGACAAAAAACTTTCTGGTTAAGATTATAAATTGATATGTCCACTTAATTGTAGCAATTTTTAACTTTTCATGTACAGTTAAAACTCAGGAAATTACTATATAAAATTTTCTTTAAAGATAAGGGGAGGAGAATTAAAAATAGATATCTAGATGCTGCCGTGATTGGTGTGGAAGGAGTAGCATGCAGCTAGAAGTGATCCAGGCTTTGCTGTGTGTGTCCAAAATTATAATCAAAATAATAATAAGAAAAAAAAAAAGAAAATAATAAAAGAGTCTTACAAAAATCCTAGAAGGACTGTCATCCTTATTGTCTTGGGCATGTTCACATTAGCAGTAAGCTTTTTGGTAATACTGATCTAAAGATGATGTAATTGTTCATATTGGTGTCTTTAATACTAGTTCATTACAATTCTTACCTGGAACTACAAAGACAAGCTTAATATTTGAACTTTATGAAGATTCAGGCATGCACATATAGAGGAGAGAGCCTCCATAGCCAAGAAATCTACATTACCACAAGAAGATGGAAGGACAAATGTTGTTTCCAAGTAGATCTCTTCTGTAAGGTTGTACATGGCAGAGTACGCTAAGGCATTGCCTGAGTGCATTAGTCAGGTACCTATCAAAGACATAGTGTCTCTTTGTTGATTGCATTTGTGATCTTCAGATTTTATAAATTATCGTTAACTAAAAATATGTTGACTTTTGTTTGCTTTTTGTTTGTTTGTTTGTTCAGGTTTACCAAAAATGCAAGTAATTAGAAACTACAGTGGAATACCACAGCCAGCGACACAAGATGGTCCACCCTTGCACATCCAGATTGGGGACACTATTGAACTAATTAGAGGAGACGCACATAGCTTATTTTGGCAGGTAATGTATCATTTAGCAAATGGCTCAATATATTCTATTAGTCCCAGAAATTAGATTCTTATTGATATATTGCTCTTTTAACCTTTTTCCTTTTTGAACAACAACAACCAAAATATTTGTATTTTACCCAAAATAAATGTCTAAATCAACAATTTATAGTTTTAAAGTGCCGGTAGTTCCTCTATTATATAAAACTTCATTCTTACAGCCTTAGAATAAAAGTCCTGGTCACTAAATCTGCAAGAACATGGCATTGAATATAGTCCTTCTAGTGAAATCGTAAGAGTTCAAGAGAGTGTTTGGTTTTGCAAGTTCTCAAGTTAAGAGCCAGAGAAGCACTTAAGCATGCTCTTGTTTTGGAACTGCCTTTGAAGATAATAATCTGACTAATACATTTAGTACAAGCCAGAATTATTGACATCTTGTGGGACTGATTCTGTCGCCATGTTCAGAAACATTTGTCAACTCAATCTACTGGATTTTTTCTTAGATTATATTTGTACCTAACATGCTATAGAATTTAGCTAGAATCTCACTGTATTTAACTAGCAGAAACTGGAAAGTGCATGAAGCTTTTTTCTCAGAAACCTTAGTAGTAGGTCTGAATCTTAATGGAAATTGTCATCTGCATTAGCATCATTCAGGAACTTTTTTTCTCATAAGCTGTCTTGTCACAAACAGATTTTCAGAAGTCTTGTAATGAAATGTACATTAAAAAATGCATATTAAAAAAACCCCCACAAAACACAATTTGTATTAAAATCTGTAAGTTTTGTTAAAGAGGTGTTTAAAGAGTAATTTTCAGCTGACTAATGTGTGAGACTAATACTAGAATAGATTTTTAGGTCACCTGTTGTTCAGTTTAGAAATTCAAGTTCTTGTAATAGATTAGTATGCATGGTTTAAATATTTTTTCATTCTTTACACTACATCAAATAATCACAAGTTACTATGCCATGCATAAACTACAGCTTAAGTGTGATCAAATGTGTTTCAATGTTAAAATTCAGCTAAGTTAATGTTTGAATGATTGTATAGCAATTGTGGTAATCTCTGTAGTAATTCAAGACCATCAAGCCATTTGAATCTACATGTTATGCAGTCTGGAAAACAGAAGTATGGGGTTTTTCTCTTTATGAAGCTGCAAGCACTTTTCTGAGAGGCAAACTGGGTGATCACAGAGGCAATAAGATGGCTAGAATAAAGTTTTATGAATTCAATGAATTTGCTTTCTGCCCCTCCTTTTTCAAAATCAACTTTTCTTTGATGCAGATTAAACCAATATCAAGTAATAACTATTACAGATGTACTTTTTAATGCTTCAGTAGTTCATGGTGCTGCTGTAAACAGCCAAAGGCATTAAGTATATTGTAAATATACTTCAGATAGAAAATGGAAACATTGAGGAGGCAGCACTGTGAAAGTGCATTCTTTTCTTTTTGATTTGTCATTTGGTTTGTAATTTTTCATCTGTCTTGTCCTTCTCTTCACCATGCTTTGTAGTAAACAAAATTAAAATAGGTGAAGGATGTGATCATTTATAAATCTTAGCTTCACTGGCCCTTATGTATTTGAATATGTATGTGCACATACATGTAAATATGTATTTTAATATATAATATACTAATTTAAAAAGACAATATAATAGTATGTACCTAATACAATTTTTTAAAACTAGTTCTGTCCAGTCCTTTAGTTCTGCTTTTTATAATGACACAAGTAATTATATGGCAGTGTTCAAGAAAATGCTTACTCATCAAACAATAAGTGAATAGCAAGAAACACAAAGTAGAAATAAATTATTAGTAGAAATGAAGTATGGTTTCATAGTAATTTTCCTGCTGTTAATGAGTTGGATAGAACCTAAATTTCAAAATTATCATTTGACAACCTATCATAGTTTTGTGTATGAATGACACCAAGCCTTGATGAATTTAGCTAGAATTTCTGAAGTAAAATAACCTAGCCTCTTAAGGACTATATGAGATTATTTGTATGACCTCACTATCAATAGAGCATTTCTTGGATTGTTTCAGTGCTTGTTACTTTGATGGCATTGCTTAAAATGCAAAGTTTTGTACTGGTCACAGTACTTCGGGATTTTTTGTGTGATGAAAGAAACTGTCCATGTGACTTCTCTGCTGCTGCTTTTGCTTTGGTCTTGGTGTACTGTCCATAGAATGCACACTTTACCTTTAGTCTCTCCTAACACAGTGTCCCACAGCTGCATGGAACAGCATCTTCCAACAAGTGGTGACATCTAAGGAAATTGTAGGATTGTTACTTGTACAGAGAGTATTTCTGTACCTTTCATATAAGTCTGTGCACTAATGATATAGTTTCTCACCATTTCATATCAATGCATGTTTAATATCTTCCAGATGATTAACTTTTTGCAAACAACAAACCCCACAAAACTGTTGAATAACGTTTTATTAGAACAGCATTATATTTTAAAGACTCTCTGATATAACGTTGTTCTAAATCCCTATGCTTGTATCTTTATTTACTATTGATTCCCATTATGTCTCAAAAATGGAAAATTTTGGATTTTTTTTCTAGGGCAGAAATCTAACAACAGGAGAGCTTGGATTCTTCCCAAGTGATGCAGTAAAGCCTAGCCCATGTGTAAGTACAATTGTTTAATTTTGTCATCTTACAGAAAACCTGTTTAGTTCATACCATTGCTTTATTAATCTTACCTTATGGAAATCATATTGTTTCTAGTTCTTCTGTGTTTTCATGGTATGTTCAATATTGCTAAAAAAAATACAGCATTCTAATACTTTTGGTTATCAGATGTGTGTATGGCATTTCAAAAAAACATGCTTGAGAAACAGATTTAACTTCTGAGAATATTAATAAACGAAACTGTCTAAATTGCTTCAAGAGTACAGAACAAACACATTTTATCTGAAAATGCACTTTCTTCCTTTCCCAGCAGTAAGGTGAGAATGCTCTGATTCTAATCTGTTCCTCAGTCACTTTGGGTTAGAGAGAGAGATTACACCATAAGTAGTGAGTTGAAGAACACATAAGAGAAAAATTAAAATAAAACTTTGAGGTCCAACTGCGCAATACGTTTTCTTCTCTCTTCTTAACTGCCTTTATTTTATGCAAGGATATTCTCAATCTGGAGAAGTTCAGGATAACAATAAGAAAAAATATTATAAAACATTTATTCAAGAGTTTTGTATTCAGATGTGATGGTGCATTCATATACTGTATGCTTGCTCCTCTATAACACTGCATTGCATTACTATATATCCCTTTGTTGAGTAATTGATGTAAAGCCATAAACCCAGAAATGAATCATATTCCCTACTTTACTTCAAGATAGCTTTAACTTCTTTGAACTTGATTCTTAACAATTTGCTTTGTTAATAGAATTGCTTTCATTACTGTGATCAAGATAAGCCACTTAAATGGTTTATAAGCAGGTGGAATCAGCTGCTAATGGCTACATTTTGACACGACTTAAAGGCTTATATTGTGCCTTAGTTTCTAAAACAAATACACGTTATCCTACAGAGGATAAAGACATTAGTGTATCTTGAGACATCTTTAGTACTCTGCACAGAATGTTTTTAGATACAAGGTATGATGGGTGAGAGAACAGATCTGGAAAAATATGAAAATGCTATACGAACTTAGCTTTCTTCCATTCACTCCTTGCTTATTGTACAAGTTGTGGATTTTCTGTGCCATGGTGTCATCATCCTGGACATGGGCAGTACCTGCTATGTATTGATGTTAGGTTCTTGGAGCCACCCAGACAGCCATTGTATAGTATCATTGACAGCAACCATAGCAACATTTTAGAAACTGCCACTGTACTTCAAAGCAGAGGAAGCAGGACATCAAAATTAAGAAAAACACTAGTAGGGTGTTGTGAAGACTGCTTTCTACTGATAAAGCTTTCTGTTAAGTTTAAAATACACTGTTTAGAGGCACATTGAAAATAATACAGTTTTACAGAATGAATAAGTATTATTCTTGAAGTGTTACCAACTGGTGTCATGATCAGATCAAAAAGATAAATTGATGCTTCATCACTGTTAACTTGGAAGGATGAAATGTAAATGTCTTATTATGATAGATGATATAGTTAAAGCTACTGAAACATCAATCAGGTTTTAAACATGCTATAATTTTTACTGTTATTAAGTCTAACAGTCTTTACAACCAGCCGATGCAAAAATGCCCAGAAACAGCATAAAATACATACATCAAAAGACTTCAAGGGTGAAGATTGAATGAAAACTTGCTGAACACCAGAATATCTATATTCCAAACTTTTCACTGTTATGCCTGTAAACAATTTTTTCCTTTTTGCAATCAGTAGTATATGTCAGCAGGCGTTTTCTGCACTAGATGAGTAATACCTAGTTCTTTCCTCCACTTTTTTTTATTTCTTCAGAGGCATTTCTTACATAGCACAGCATAAGCTAAGAGCTTCTGGAATAATATTTGATACTACTCTGCTTCATGACAATGAACACCATTTGTTACATATAGTTACATACTTGTGTTTTATATATATATATCCATTCAAAATTATTGAAAAGGACTACTCATCTACTGTTTAACTATTCTGGAGGATGGACTTAAGCCATCTTTGAATTTTTATATCCTTTCAAACACAGTAGGACACTTAACAAATTAAGAATATTTATTTTATTTAAACTATTCCTTATTCTTACTCCTGCTGCTGATAGAATGCATTAGTCCTATGGGGGATAATCCAAATCATTAAAGGCCCAGTTCTTTTGAAGATTAAACATATACTTAAAATATCTCGCAGCATGTAGACTCTGTAAATGCCTAGCTAGCCTTGAAATGTCACTATTGGTTATTTCACTAGACTATTTCTTGTTGGGATTCTTTGCCAGTGTATTAATAATCTGTTAACCTTTTTCCAAGTCTCACCATTAGAAGCAGAGGGAGCTGTAGGCATATGAAGTGCCACAGCTGCTGCCAGTGGTAGTACCTGGCAGTGTTAGGCCCCTACACTTGAAAGGGCTTTACATACCACCAGCACTACAACTGCTGCTGTTTGAGAGTCCTTTGTCTACGCTTTTTGGCAGTAATGAATGTTTCCTTTTTCTCTCTCAAGAACTAGACTAACTTCATGACAACACAAAAAATTTGCATTTCTTGAATCTTGCAAATTTAACTGCAGAATACTGTAACTAAATGTGGAAAGATGTGGGGGTTTTGTGTTTGTTGTTGTGGGGGTTTTTTGTCCCATTGCTGGAGTTGATTTCAAGGTCACTTCTAGACACTTGATAGAGATCTCAGTTGATACCTGACCTCAAGTTAGTAGTAGTTGTAATTTATTTCTATTTCAGTTAATTTAAGTTTGTAGGCCTGTATAATATTCTGTCACAGCAGCAAGTAGTTAAAATGTTCTGTACTACTTTTTCAGAATGGTATGAAATATTTGTCCTTTATTATAACTTATTTCAAAAGAAATTACACTTTCAGACTAATTACTCTGTTTTTTTAACTTACTTCATCTGGACATTGACAATTATATCAAAACTATCTAATTTGTGTTGATTGGAAAAAATTAAATAAATTACCCTCATTCTCTTGTATCTTTTTATGTCTTAGGTGCCTAAACCAGTAGACTACTCTTCACAACTGTGGTGAGTTCCTGTTTAGTCTTACAAGAATCTCTTTGAAGGGCAGCAGTCTAGAAAGAGGACTGTGTTTGTTACAATTTAATTTATATTGGTTTAATATTTCTAAGCTTCTGAAGGTGACATTGTATAATGGTTTGGGAAAGTAACATGATATGTTGCATAAAAGCATTTAGACTGTAAAAAAATGTTCAATGATTTTGACATTGTGTTTTCAAGTCTGCAGCTGTGCAGCCTTTGTCCCACAGGTCTGAAACAAAATAAGAGACTAATACAACACATAGTGTGCAAGTAGATCTTACATTTTAAGTGAAAAGAGAGAATAGTGTTAAATACATCTTGGCTAGTGAATAATTCTGCATAAGACTGTAGACACATAACAGTGTATCAAAACTACAGCCACTGCTGGTCTGGGGGCTTATGTATTGTGTGAACATTTTACTGGAATTCAGCTCACTTCTTAAAAAGGTACAGAAACTCTGAGAGAACAGAATAAACATCACTGGTTTTAGGCTTTATTACATAGATGTGAGTCCTGATTTCCTCTGTTTTGCCAGAAGTGAAATCAGAATAAGATCTAAGCAAATATTGATTTTTCATAGCAAGCCAAATAGAATGTTTAATATTTAAAATTGGTATTTTAAATTAAATTCTAACATTTACTCTATTTCTAATTTTGTTAGAAGAAAGCATCTCATTGGGTTCAGTCTATCTTCTAAAGATTTGTATTACTTAACTGAAGAATTACTTTAGGCTGAAACTTACTGTAAAAAGTCGGGTATTTTGTGATAAACTTGAAAATGCATGTTCCCTAATGTGTTTCATAAAATAACTTTTTTTTAAATTTAAAGCCCCCTTCTAATTGATAATGGTATATTAGTATGAAATTTTGTGTAGTGGTGGTCTGTGATGCTGACTGCCTTTAGACTGTCTAAAACGGTAAAAAAAGTGTAATTTTTCCTGTACGCTAGGTCACTTTCCTCAATTAACATTTTAACCTCTCATTTTGCAAATAAACATTAGTTGACAACCTGTCATGAACTCCCACCCAAACCAGCACAAATCTGTTTATGCCATCAGGCTGCAGAACTGGTGACTTATTTGTCTGAGCTTTCAGCTCCTAACATCAACCCTTTCAAATTTGGACATTAGGTTGAATAATTATTTTTTTTTTGCTTGTGGATGTTTAGTCTACGCAGTACACTTGAGCCTTTAGAGGTTATGAATAATTATGCAACCAAATAAAATAGTATGGTTGTATAAATACCAAATTTGACTAGGTATTCTTTTGACCTGATAGCCTGTTTGAGGCTGATTCTCCACTCTGTCAAGATAAATCCCACTAGAACTCAGGGAGGTTCAAAGGTTCTGGACCACTGTTTCGTTGCTTCACTTGCAAATTGTAATTAAGGAAAACATCTGGTTTTATGAGCTGTTTGATCTAGTAATTATTCAGCTAATGCTTAGACTCTAGCACTTTCCTTCACAGATACTGTATTCAATGTGTGCATAAATACTTTTCTAATTAAGAATTCTTCTCCTGAGCAATGTGGAATTTTTTCATGTTTTTTTCTCTGTTCAAGGATATGGAAGGGATATAGAGTTGCAACTGAGCTATTTTTAGGTCACCAGCATATGCAGAAAATTTGGACTTTGCATTGCATAGTTAATAGACTTTACTTTTTAGCTGTGAAAAAATCATAGGCACTTTTTATTGTTCTCTGTTACAGGTTTGCAGGAGCAATGGAAAGATTGCAAGCAGAGAGTGAACTTATTAACAGAATAAATAGTACTTACCTGGTTCGGCACAGGACCAAGGAGTCAGGAGAATATGCAATTAGTATTAAGTAAGTGGATTAAAATCTTGTATACAAAGTTCTTCTGTTCTTATATTTGTCTAGATAATATTTGAAATAAATAAGGAAAATTAAAGCCTGTTTCAATTTATGTAATAATACATAGCCCTTAAGAGAATCAATATAGGAAAATTAAGTTGCTGACAAAAATGCCCAGGATTTAGAGTAAGAAGGTATTAACGTTTTTTTTTTGTTCTGGTGTAGCAAACTGGTCTACAAAAATGATGGCCTAGCATGTTGTGTAAGAGTAAGAAAGTGTATGGTGCGTAATGTCATCTGCTTCTCTCAAGTGAATAAGAATGTTTCAGTGACTTCAGTGAGAACTTGTCGAAGGTCTTTGCATCTCAGACATTTCAGTAAAATGTAGGTTCCTAAATTCTGTGAATGCAAATTATTGTGAGAGTCTTGTTTGATTTCACATTGTTGATCAACATGAATTCCCAGTTAGAATGAGCAGTTAGTTGTGACTTTTTCTGAATACATATTAGCTCTTCAGCTCTGCCTTAATAAATATATTTGGTTAATTAGATGTCATCTTTGTTTTGGTACAGATAGAAATTTTGTCTTTAAGAATTTGTGTGGTGTTATTGGGACATGCCCTCAGGTAATTATTGATTGCACCTGATTAAAAACACATTTATATTAATAAGTTATTTGTTGCCCACAGGTACAATAATGAAGTGAAACACATCAAGATTGTAACAAGAGATGGCTTTTTTCACATTGCAGAAAACAGAAAATTTAAGAATTTAGTGGTAAGCATTGATTATGTTTTTAACAATGTGAGATTTTTTGTGTAGCTCTTGCTTTTAGTGAGAGCTACTTTGGTTTGTGAAATTACAAAAGGCTGGGAGAGTGAGAGATTTTAAACGTGTCTGTAATTGCTAATAGGATAATAGGTTAATGCTCTAAGTGATGTTATTATGTAATTAAACCCACATATTTAAATTTAGTGATGTGGAATGGAGTTAGGCTGATTCTGAAAGGAGAATTTTGAGTATTTGGAAATCTTTCCTTAGATAGTAATCCCTAAAAGTAGCTAAGTGGAAGTTCCCTCTGAGCACGTACGGTGTTCCTCAAATGAACACATGAAGGAGGTGGTGACTTAGCCTGCACGCACTGCAAATGATTCACTGGAAACTGATGAGAACATTGGAGCCTTCTCAGGATCTTGGCAAAGCATATGAGCAGAAGTTGCATGCTGCCAGAAATCTTATGGTAATTATGCAGTTAAATGCACTGAGACAGATTTCAAAATTGAGCTGAATTATCAGAGATATAAGTACTGGACAGAAACTTGGATAAAAAAGAAACAAAAAGATTATGCATTCTGTCAGAAAATTGAGAGGACAAAAGAAATTTCTAGTCTGAAGGCCACATTGCTACCAATTTAGCTTTGCTAACTTTCCATTAGGAAACAGTAATTTCATAACTCAGTTTCATGTTATTATGAAGTCTGCCCTTGAGAGTTAAATAGGCAAGTGATAGTGTAAGTACTGTTTGCATATGTTGTGGAACAGCTGCTTAGTTCTAGGTAGCTGCAAGAGAAAAACTAAGTGTCTGAAAGATGAGAGGAACCAAAAGTAGTCTGAGTAGACCTGGAAACAGAAGAGAGACAAAGCCAGCAGCCATGGAAACCTAAAGTAGAGATCTGCAGTGAAACAGTGTTCTGTACTACTTCAAAGGTAACAAAAGCAGAACAGCTCATATACATAATTTTAATACTGTATTTGAAAAACTTTCACAAGAGTAATTAAAAAGAGCTGAGTGTGTAAACCAGGCCAAGGTGCAGTAAAAGGTCAGGTCTGCTGATGTGAATCATGGTAATGTGACACACTCCTGAGGAGCCCTATCCATGCTGCCAGGGGCTACTTACCTTGCTTATCTCTTTGTATGTTTCCTGTTCTGATTTGTGCAATGAATGTTTTAGAGGCCAGTTGTTTGTCGACTGTTTTCATGGAAGAATGGTATTAAAAGTTAAGCTTTTAAACACAACTGAGTCTTTGTGACCCATAGCAAATTTTGATTGCTGACATTATAGCTTGCATCTTGTGCTGATATTGGACAACAAAGCCCAAGCAGTTCTTAGTCTCCTGGTCTTTCTGCTTACTTGATATGCCTGGCAGCTCTGTGATTATGAACTGTTAAAAGCAGGTGTAGATCTTAGCTTTGGACTGCGTAGAAGCAGTTTTATAATATGCAACAGCTCCTATGGTGAGGAAGTGAAGTGCCACAGAGTTCGGTTCAGGAGATAATAATCTGACTATTATCAAGAATTTATAGTTTATACACTAAATATTGGATTAAATAATTTGAGAGTAATTTTGTTTGGCTGGAATTAACATACCACTAAACTGATGCAGGCTGTTGTAGGCTCATAAATTTTTTTTGTTGTTTTGTGTGTGGGGGTTTTTTTGTTGTTTTTTGTTTGATTGATTGATTGACCACAGTACTATTTCCTCATTTTGACATAAGCTTGGCTTGGTCAACTTCGATTTTGGAAATGACCAAGTTACTGATAGGAGTGAAAGATTTACAGTAAATAGATTGCTTTGTGCTTGCATTTCTGAAGAGTGAAAATCCCACAATTGAAGTATCATTAATAAAATTAAACACTTGTTTTAAATTGCCTGGTTATGTTTAATCTTATTCTAGGCTCTGTGTACAAACTGTGTAATATTGACATTATTAGGGCTAATTGAAACGAAGGAGACAATGCCAGGGATTGAAGATTGCAAAGGAATAACATGAGCTGTCAGCTCATGTCAGTTACACTTATGTAAGTTTATATATATTCACAAACACACAGTTTTGGATTGGGCCCTAGAAGAATGTGAAATGTCACGTGTGTCAGTGTGCACTATTTTAAACCTCTCCCCTCAAAAACCCCACACTAATTTTAATGGCAGAGCCTTGAACTTTTTATATGGTCTGTGTATCTGCTCTTTAAGTGCAGTTGACTTAAATGCAAGCTTCATGTGTTACAAATGCACACACGGATCAGTATCACTTACGATTGCAAAAGAAATTTAGAAAAACAGGAACAATTATTCCTACATAACAAGCAGCTGATTTTGTCTCCTGCCTGACTTCAGAAATCAAATGCATGCTCAGCCTGGCTCAAAGGAGCATTAAGTGTTGACCGTGAGAGTAAGACTTTACATTAAAAAGCAAAAAAACCAAACCAAACCAAAAAAACAACACAAATGAAAACCAGTTAAGTGTAAAAGTGGTCAATACTTAGGATTGACCACTTTTTAAAAAAAACAAGCATACTGTAGGATGTTGGGTTATAAAACGAGGTTACCTTGTATGATAGAACTGTCCTTGACTGTACATCACAATGTTGAAAAAGATGTTCAATTTCCAATGACAGTGTTTTTTCTTTTCAAAAGGAACTCGTAGAATACTATAAGCACCACTCTCTCAAAGAAGGCTTTCGAAGTTTGGATACTACTCTTCAATTTCCATACAAAGAAACTGAAAACTCAGTGGGACAAAGAAGTAACAGAACAGGTGGCAACTGTGAGTGTTATACATTTTTGTGTAGTATTTTCTGTTATATAAATATTAAAAAGAGAAGGTACTTTTGAACATCTTCATTTTCTGTTTTTGATATATAACCAATTATTATAGTAATGCTTTTAGCTAGGATTTTTTTGAAGCTAAGCAGATTCAGATCTGCCAGGAGGTTTATAAACATGTCTGGCAAGTTTGTCTTGCTGACAAACCTAAAATCTCCGTGATACTCAAACATCTGTTAGACATGCTAGTGAGTAATTAAACTGCATCCTGCCTAGTTTTTTCAGACATTTGCACACATGCATCTACAAGTGTTAATAATATCTATGATGATTTCTAATCCTTAAAAAAGAATTTAAATAAATCAGTCTTCTAGTGTAGTCATATGAAGTAGTATCTCAGTAATATCACATGCATTTCTCAAAAAACCCATTAGATTTCCTGAATCATAATTTTTATACCTGCTTTTTAACCTTAAATATTTATTACATGCTTCAAAGCTTCTGAAAGTTAATGTACTACTGTACAATGTAAATAGCAGTTTAAAAGTTTTGAAGTTTAGAAATAAACTGAGAATATTTACAATGCATGTGGTATCCTTTATTTAACCTCTTATAACTTAAGTGGAAGTTGGCATGATTTTTAGAACACGTACAAGTTCAACATTAATGATAAAAGCTACCACATGGCTGTCCTCTGGAAAGTATGTAATCTTTCTGTCAAAGAGCAAATATTAGATTTGCAGTTCTGCAGACAATGGCTGTATCTTTGTACTGCAACAGATAATAAGAGCAAAATAAAAATTAATTGAGATTTTAGCAATATGAAGACTGCTGTGAAAGACCATCGAGTCCAGTCTAGTCTTTGTGATGATGAAGCTGGCTGTGTTACTTTAATTTGCTGTGTTTATGCGATTTTGGAAATGACCAAGTTACTGATAGGAGTGAAAGATTTACAGTAAATAGATTGCTTTGTGCTTGCATTTCTGAAGAGTGAAAATCCCACAATTGAAGTATCATTAATAAAATTAAACACTTGTTTTAAATTGCCTGGTTATGTTTAATCTTATTCTAGGCTCTGTGTACAAACTGTGTAATATTGACATTATTAGGGCTAATTGAAACGAAGGAGACAATGCCAGGGATTGAAGATTGCAAAGGAATAACATGAGCTGTCAGCTCATGTCAGTTACACTTATGTAAGTTTATATATATTCACAAACACACAGTTTTGGATTGGGCCCTAGAAGAATGTGAAATGTCACGTGTGTCAGTGTGCACTATTTTAAACCTCTCCCCTCAAAAACCCCACACTAATTTTAATGGCAGAGCCTTGAACTTTTTATATGGTCTGTGTATCTGCTCTTTAAGTGCAGTTGACTTAAATGCAAGCTTCATGTGTTACAAATGCACACACGGATCAGTATCACTTACGATTGCAAAAGAAATTTAGAAAAACAGGAACAATTATTCCTACATAACAAGCAGCTGATTTTGTCTCCTGCCTGACTTCAGAAATCAAATGCATGCTCAGCCTGGCTCAAAGGAGCATTAAGTGTTGACCGTGAGAGTAAGACTTTACATTAAAAAGCAAAAAAACCAAACCAAACCAAAAAAACAACACAAATGAAAACCAGTTAAGTGTAAAAGTGGTCAATACTTAGGATTGACCACTTTTTTAAAAAAACAAGCATACTGTAGGATGTTGGGTTATAAAACGAGGTTACCTTGTATGATAGAACTGTCCTTGACTGTACATCACAATGTTGAAAAAGATGTTCAATTTCCAATGACAGTGTTTTTTCTTTTCAAAAGGAACTCGTAGAATACTATAAGCACCACTCTCTCAAAGAAGGCTTTCGAAGTTTGGATACTACTCTTCAATTTCCATACAAAGAAACTGAAAACTCAGTGGGACAAAGAAGTAACAGAACAGGTGGCAACTGTGAGTGTTATACATTTTTGTGTAGTATTTTCTGTTATATAAATATTAAAAAGAGAAGGTACTTTTGAACATCTTCATTTTCTGTTTTTGATATATAACCAATTATTATAGTAATGCTTTTAGCTAGGATTTTTTTGAAGCTAAGCAGATTCAGATCTGCCAGGAGGTTTATAAACATGTCTGGCAAGTTTGTCTTGCTGACAAACCTAAAATCTCCGTGATACTCAAACATCTGTTAGACATGCTAGTGAGTAATTAAACTGCATCCTGCCTAGTTTTTTCAGACATTTGCACACATGCATCTACAAGTGTTAATAATATCTATGATGATTTCTAATCCTTAAAAAAGAATTTAAATAAATCAGTCTTCTAGTGTAGTCATATGAAGTAGTATCTCAGTAATATCACATGCATTTCTCAAAAAACCCATTAGATTTCCTGAATCATAATTTTTATACCTGCTTTTTAACCTTAAATATTTATTACATGCTTCAAAGCTTCTGAAAGTTAATGTACTACTGTACAATGTAAATACTTCTAGTGTAGTCATATGAAGTAGTATCTCAGTAATATCACATGCATTTCTCAAAAAACCCATTAGATTTCCTGAATCATAATTTTTATACCTGCTTTTTAACCTTAAATATTTATTACATGCTTCAAAGCTTCTGAAAGTTAATGTACTACTGTACAATGTAAATAGCAGTTTAAAAGTTTTGAAGTTTAGAAATAAACTGAGAATATTTACAATGCATGTGGTATCCTTTATTTAACCTCTTATAACTTAAGTGGAAGTTGGCATGATTTTTAGAACACGTACAAGTTCAACATTAATGATAAAAGCTACCACATGGCTGTCCTCTGGAAAGTATGTAATCTTTCTGTCAAAGAGCAAATATTAGATTTGCAGTTCTGCAGACAATGGCTGTATCTTTGTACTGCAACAGATAATAAGAGCAAAATAAAAATTAATTGAGATTTTAGCAATATGAAGACTGCTGTGAAAGACCATCGAGTCCAGTCTAGTCTTTGTGATGATGAAGCTGGCTGTGTTACTTTAATTTGCTGTGTTTATGAGCTTTTGTTTACTTGCTTGCTTCTGTTCCAGAGCACTTCTGTAACTTTGGAGACTTTCTTCCTCTCCTAATTAGAGTGAGAATAATTTAGGACAGATGATTGCAAGAAACCAACACGGGCCTGTGCATTTCATGTACTCTGTGTCTATCCCCCAAATCCTCTATATTCTTTCAATTTCTGTTTTCTTTCACTGCTTCCCAGGACTTCTGTCCGTTGTCTCCCAGCTATGGTGTATCTTAGTACATCTCTCTTGGTGAATTTGTGTCCTTTCCTTTCATCTCCCTTTAGCTTGCTTATTCTTGTCTCCCTTTGCTTATTGTTGTCATCTCTTCTGCTTTTCTTATTGCTTAAATCCTCACTGCAATGAGGCTTTAATTGTTGGAAGGGTATGCCCTGCTTTCTTTGCTTTTATTTTTTGTTATTATTGACTGTAAGCAGAGCCTATTTGTTTTCTCTCCTTTCTTAGGTGGGTTAGTATGTGTCCATACTGTCCACCAACTTATTAGTCTGTAAGATCATTAGGTCAATCATTTCAGGCTTTACAAGGCTACAAGACTTATAATACATCCTGATTACCTTCAGTCCACATACAAAACATCTGCTTTAATAAGGTCTTTTAGGCAGTATATGGGAGTGGGATGCTCTCATTTTAATCAAGGGGATGAGAAAGTGCATCTTCGCAATAGTAAATATCAGCCATTTAATGTTACAGACTATGGTAGTGGCAACTGGCAGGTTTTATCTTGGGCCAAACTGATCAAAAAACCCTCTCAATTCTCAGACTCCTCATAAGATCTAATACATTTCCACAGTTCTGCTAGACTACATAGATGGACACAGAATGATGTTTAATGAATGTGAGAGTTTTATTTTAAGTGTGATCATGTCCCCAAAAGTTTGTGTTGTTTTTCTTTTTAAGCAAACTTCCCATGAATAGGAACCCATCAGTAAATCACACTGCTTGGTTTTAAAGCTATCCTGTCAGGTTTTACTGAATTGATGTTACAATAACTGTATATCTAGACTGTGTCAACCCTGCTGGGCCTGAACTTGGAAAGAAGTTGGTAAACTTTAGGTTGCAGTTTTGTTTAGTAGAGGAAGCAAATGAGTCGTGAGGCAGTAGCTGAACATTGACTTCACTTCACAGCCCTCAGTGAAAACTGTTTTTTTGACCTCTTTCCACTTAATCTGAGTGCAGGAAAAACATTTGTTGAAAGAAAGCCAGACAAGTGAGCTGAAAAGAGGGAGGGGCACTTTCCCCCCTTTTTTTTTTTTTCAGTTGTTTGACTATTCAGTGTCACAGTCACCATATTTTATCAATCACGGGGCTGATGCTAGTGAATACAATGGGTTTCTGCAGTTTGAAGCTGATTTGAAGGACATTTTGGATTTCAAATCAGTGTTTTTCACTACACTATTCACATGACTGTGTTTGGATTTTTTATGAGGCCATCTTCTGAGAAAACATCAGCTTCTTAGTCAAAACAGCTGGTCTTTAGCAAATATAACTGACAGATTAAGTGGGAAAAGTATTTCTGAAAAACATGAGTTGAACCACTAGACTTTCACAGAGTTGTATAATTTTCTGCTCTTAGTCTTTGAGCTGCTGGGAAATTAAATGAAATGGAAATACCAAATTAACTTCATTGTCTAGAACATTTGAGAAGATTATATTCAATTTTCATGTGTCAAGTTTTCACTTAACCGTTGAAGGAAAGAGAATAGAGCGGCATTTTGGTTTACTTGTAATTTCTGATGTGAATCATAATAAATCACCTTGTAACTTCTTAAATTTTCAGGGAATTTGATCCTTGCTTCAGCATTTACTAGATTTTTAGACAAAAAAATATATATATTTAATGTAGATAATTAGGCTTCCCTCTCTAATTAGAACTTTGTTTTTTAGTCTCCTACGCTTTCAGAAATCATCCACTCTGTTCTGATAGTTGTTGAAAGTGTGGTTGAAAAAGCTGTAAGACATT